ACCAGCAGATGAGCCACCAAATCTGCTGCCGAAAGCACTGCTCATATGAGGGAGGGGAACCACTCACGGCATCTACTGTAACACACCAGGAGCCGTCAGGCTTTCTGGCCTTCTCTGGCTTCTCTAGCCACACACCGCATCCACCCCCAGGATGCACTCACTCTGGGATTGGTGATTCTATTCTACTGTTGGGGGTAATAGCCAACCCTTAGGGTTTCTGTCTGCTGTCGCTCCAACACTCGGCTTTCATAGCCACTAATGCGACACGCAGACCCCTGCACTCAGGCCAACCCACTGCACAAGCACATGGGTCAGGGATCCAAACTCTACATGCGACCTCTCTTGGGTCCTCTCTTCGGCTTGGGCTCCACCCCAAGCCACGTTCCCCACCTGTCCCCCAAGGACAGGTTCCTCAGCTCCTCACCCTCACTCAGGAACGAGCAGGGCATCACCCACAGGTGATTTTAAGAGACTCACTGGTCTTCAGCATACTTAGGCTGCTTAACAGCCATTCAGGGCTTCCCAAACTTAGCATCAGTACCAGCTTTTGCCTTCTCAGTTGGCTTTTCTCCTCTGCCTAGCTGCTGGACATACTCAGGCTGCTTTTGGCCATCAAGGCCCACTGGCCACCCCCAGATTCTCAAAAAAAATATAACCTGCCAAGGTCCTCCACCTTCTGGAGGACCAAGTCCAGAAGCCCAAGTCTGTTGGCCTCTCCCTGCATCAGCACTGGCGAGCTCCGAATCGTGGACCCTCTTCGCCGATGATTCTTGCTGCCTCAGGGGTCATTGGCTGGTCCTCTCAGGCATCTCCTTCATGCGAGGTCTAGTCCTGCAGTTACCAGACCTTGTCCCTCTCCTGTGCCGCCATGACGCCTCCAGCGTTGTCACAGCCAAACAGTCTGTTACTCCTTAGTTCCTTCAAACCTGTCTGCATGGATCATCTTGCCAACTTACGCCAATTGTAAAGGCAGGACAGGTCACTGAGCAGGTTTTCTATGATCCAGCAGAACAGGTAAAGGAGGAGTCAGAGTCCTCAGTGGTTTTTGCAGGTCTTTTATTGGGATTTACCCGGTACACAGCAGGCAAGGGTGCTGGGGGGCCGGGAGGCTGGCAGTCCTCCCAGCCCCCAGCAAATCCTCACTCTATCTGGGCTCTCTGCTTCTGCTTCTCTGCTTCTCTCTCGGCTTCTCTTTCAGCTTTTCCTCGGCTTCTACTGGCGTCCCCATGACGTCGCCCTTAAAAACCCAGTCTTAACCCAGGTGACTCCCATCTACCTATGCCCACACCCTCTTCCAGGTGGCCGCCATCAGGCATGCATTCAGGACTGCAAGGATCCATCATCTATCCTGATGGCGGGAGGGCAGAAAAGCCTGACATTTTTCCTTTACCCTACACTCTCTCACCAGTGCTTCAGCTGCCAGACTGTCAGAGGCGGCCATGAAGGGCCAGAGCCACACAAGCTCGAAACTCCCACTGAGGCAGGGGAAGAGGTAAGGGGGAACTCTCCGGGCTGGCGAAGCGCTGCCACATCACAGGCCAGGGTTTGATGCAAACAGCAGCTCTGGCAGGTCTGGATTTCTAGAACAAACGAGTGCACCACCTTCACTTCCTGGTCAATCTTTTCATAAAAGCACAGGAAAAATAACTGCAGGGTAGCACTGACCCAACAGCAGATCTCAGAGCCAAGAAAATCACTCTTCTGCGGCGACACTACTCCCTCCAAATACACAAACCCAGGAAGACAAGGGAGATTATCTCACCTCAATCTGTCTGTGTCGTAGACGCTGGGCCACAGCACATTGCTCACTAAGCCAACAAGATTTCACATCCTACTCTCTCTAAAGACAATAGGCAAGCAAAGACCAGAAATTCCCCAGTATTCTACCCTTCAATTGCTTTGTAATCAGCGTTGACTATTTTAATCTCCTCTGCAAATACAAACAAATGTGGACGTAGTTAAGCAGGCTATAAAGCTGTGAATTCCACTGTTATCTGAAAGAACCAGAAAAAGGTGCACTCATTAATGCTCCCATGAACACACACCAGTTACCAATCCCAAAAAGATTAGCATAAAATCAAACATAGAAAATGTCTTAAGTAAGTCAGCTTTTCTTTGATAATGAAAAATGCATGTTAAGATTCTGTATCTTTTTTATAAACTCTAGTTATTGTGAAAATAGCAAAAGGGAGGATGTTTCCACCGCAGATAGCAGCTCTGGGTAAATCAGCTTTGAGTAAAGATGGAAATATAAACTGGCAAAAGAAAAAAGGGTAGTTTAGGGGATAACCACCCACCCTATGAAATGGTTATGGGATTTATTTTTAGGTAACTGTAAAAATCAAAACTCACACTCTCACCTTAGGCTCAAGAGTTCTCAAATTCACCGTTCTCAGGAGAGTTTGTTTTCCAAATAAAACAACAGTTGTCTGTCTTGGAAGAGCTCAGCCAGGAACAGCAATCACGTAGCTTTGTCAGAATATTGTTGTCGCCTTTATTCATTTTTTTTTTTTTGGTAGAACATTTAAGCACTTTTTTTAATTTTAATTTTATTTTTATATTCCCCATACAACTACAACCCCCTTATTTTGACCCCAAGCCCTCCTTTCCCCCACCCCCACCACCTATAGAGTGTCTCTGGTTCATAGTTTTTTGTTGATTTTGATATTTTCTTTCTTATAGTTATTCTTTTTCCTGGTCCCTTATTTAAGTTTTCTAGATTCCTGCTATGAGTGACACCATCTGGTATTTTTCTTTACCAAAGGACACAGAAACATCAATTCCAAAGAGCACCTGCACCCCTATGTTTATAGCAGCACTATTTACAATAGCTAAGCTTTGGAAACAGCCCAAATGTCCAAAAATAGATGACTGGATCAAGAAGATGTGGTACATATACGCCATGGAATATTACTCAGCATTCAAAAAAGATAAACACATGCAATTTGCAGCAACATGGATGGAGGTGGAAGGGATCATGCTCAGTGAAATAAACCAGAAAGAAAAAGAAAAATATTCATTCTTTTTAAATAAAAGGAGGATCAAAATTATCTCTAAAGGAGAACGAATGATGTAAAAAATATATAAATTAAAAATAGAAATTAAAAAATCAGGAACATACAAAAAAGTTCTAAGGTAATCCCACCATACTTTGTATTTTTTTTAAAGATTTATTTGTGTATTTATACAAGAACCGGGGTACAGGCCAGATGCATGGGAGGGTGAGAGGATTCACCAGAGACAGAGCGGGGAACAGAACAGGCAGACTGACAAAATACACTGCTGAGGGAGCAGCAGGCAAGACAAGAGAGGTCTGCCGCACCACGTGGGACCCTCGCTGGCTGGCCAGGATAGAATCAGCGCTGCAGAGGCTGCGGACAGCTTCACAGCGCTGTGCTTGATCAACCGCCTGCACCACCAGGGGAGGCCCCATACTTTGCATTTTATTGGAATTCTTTACAGACATTATTATTGATAACTTGGCCCCCACAGCTACACTTAAAAGGCACACAAAAGTCAAATTAATTTTAATAAACTACTTAAAATAAGATATTCAAGTTACTGTGCTTTCAGGACATAACCAATATACAAGTGAGTAAGGAGCTATTTTAACTCTACAGTAAGTCCTCAATCTGACACATGCGGAACACCATCCTGTCCTGTGGCTCACAGAAGCATCACCCATCTCAGGTCACGTGAGCTGCACCACCAGTGCCAACAATCTCCGTGGCCAGTGACCACGGACTGGACAACACAACCTCCAATCAATAATGACCATCTAAGCGCGGAGAAGCCCTGCTACTCTGGCTCAGTGTAACCCAGACTCCGTAATTATAGCTGCCTAAAGTGGAGCATGCGGACTATGAAAGGGGAAGAGCCTGGCCTCTGGAAAGGCTGCAGGTGAGTCTAGATAACCTACAGGCGTCCAGGCAGAAGCCTGCCAGGCTGTGGCAGAGTCCGAGGCGTCTCTGTGCCCCAGCAGCCCAGATGCCATGGGCACTGAGAACACATGCTTGTATGTGTGCTTGTCACAGAGTCACTCCTCTGGAATGTCTAAGGCCAGAGGATGCAGAGCTCTAAGGCCAGAGGATGCAGACATGCACAGAAGGACACACACGAGGGGCCTCTTCTCTAGAGGGGAGCCCAAATGTCTTCAGCTGGACCTGGGTATGCTCACAGCCCCACAGCAGACACAGACAGCAAGGCCAATGAGGAGTCTTCTGAGCAACCAAGCAACAGCCTCTCACTAGCCCCCAGCCTCAACGGCCTGCTCTGCTCTCCCAAAACTCTACTTCTCCTTCTTGCTCCTCTCCACGGAGGAATACACAGAAGTAAGCAAATAAGAATAAAAGCAGCTGGGAGTACCCCCTTGGGCCGTGCATGGGAGTTCACTGCTGGGCGGTGGATAACGCTAACTACCAGCTTCCCATTAGCTAATTTAGAGAGAAAATGGGGCAGAGACTCTAATTTCCATCTCTCTCCCCTCAAAACCAAAGGGCGGGGCCTCCCCGGTGGTGCAGCGGTTAAGCGCTGGGTTGCGAAGCTGCCCGCAGCCTCTACAGCGCCGGTTCGATCCCCGGCTGCTCCCCGGCCACCAGAGGAGGGCCCCACATGGCGCACAGACCTCTCCTGCCGCCCGCTGCTCCCCTCAGCAGTGTACTTCGGTCCTTCTGCCTGCTCTGCTCCCCGCTCTGGCTCTGGTGAATTCTCTCACCCTCCCGTGCTTCTGACTATACCCAGTGCTTGTATAAATAATAAATAAATAAACCTTAAAAAAAAAAAAAAAAAAAAACACAAAGGGCGGCCCCAGTCCAAGCCGGCTCAGGTGAGGTCCTGCCCCTCCCTCAGGGCAGAGGGCGGGGGCCACGGTCCATCAAGCTTGGAGGAGCAAGATCAAGCAAACAGGATTCTTGGAACACAAGTCAGGGCCAAAAGTAGGGGCAACGAGACAGTGCCTGCTGTGAGCAGCCCCTCTCCATAAGCCATCCGTGTGCATTTACCTCCCGCAGCTCCAGCCTCTGGGCGACCGCCTCCAGGCACTCCTGCCCCGTGCTCTCCACAGAGAGTGTGCACTCGATGACGTTGCTGTCCAGCAGGCGGATGCGGGTGACGAAGCAGTTCTTGCTCAGGACGTTGTAACGCCGGGTCCGGCGGAGCTTCAGGCCAAAAGGCATGGTGCTGGGGCCTTGGGACGCCGCGCCCCTCTCCTAGTGCCCTGCTCCCCAAGCTGGCCTCAGCAAGGCCGTGACGGGGTGACGACACGACCACTTGCACTCCTCCAGGGACAGAAGTCAACATCCATGCCCACGGTGGTGCCCTGTGGGATCACTGCAAGAGAAAGTGGGGCAAGATCATTTGCAAGGTCACTGGCTGCAAGGGAAGCTGTGGATGGGGCACTGTGGACATGCAGATGCCACAGCCTGCAGCCCTGTGGCCCATGTGTCTGGGTGGAGTCCACGTACTTTCCCCTTCTCTTTCCAGGGTCAAACAATAAAATCCACTTGACAGGTGGAAAGTTGAGGTCCAGAGAAACCCACAGAACTCATCCAGAGCCAATGCAAGGCCAGAGTGCTGACGGATGGCCACGCAGCTCAGATCACGTTTTGCTCTGTAAGACCCCGTCTGCTGGAAGTGTAGGAGCGGAATCTCAATGCTTACCATTTTAACTGTGAAATAAATTCTCATTTCAACATCATTGGTTGTTAATGGGGTAGATTCTACAGTCCTTGCTTTACAGATAGAAAAATCACGGCTCAAGGATTCAAGGGACCCACTCATCCTGGACTGAAAGTTCTTATTCCTCCTCTGTGACACGGTCTCTCTCCTCCAAGGCCATTATTTACTTTTATTTCTATGTTTATTTATATTACTTAATTATCTTATCACTTTGGAATGGATACAGTTTGGAAGGAATCACATTTAACATGGTCAGCAACTCTCTACTTTCTAAAAAGACTTTTAAATAGATGAATCCACTAAGGCACTAAAATCACAACTCCTCTGTTCTTTTTGCACCAAATACTTGCATTAGATGTGGTGCCGTCATCTCATTCTTTCACAGAATGCTTGGTGCAAAAGCCTTGAAACCAAGTTACAGTAATTTAACTTATGAACAAGATTTACTGAAACCTAAAGTCCCCCAAATGCCAATGACGGCTTCACTACCACAAAGAACACAGGATGAAACAACAAAATTGGCCAACAGATGTGAAAGTAAGTTCATCGTCCCTTCTAAAAAGAGAGCTGCAAATTAGACCACAATGAGGACCCCCCACCACTCCCCTGAGCCCCCAACAAGTGCTGAGAGGATGTGGAGAAAAAGGAGCCTGTTCATAGTGGCGAGAGTGTGAACAGTGCAAGCATTCTGGAAAGTGATCTGCATTTGTCTTAAAAACCTGAAATATGGAAATACATATGACCCAGCCACACCCCTCTTGGGCATCGATCCAGAGTATGAAACCCCATAAATCCAGGTGCTCTGCTAGGCTCTCTGAGTCTTCACTTGCAATAGCTAGGATAAGGCAGCACCTAAACATCCATCGACTGACGAATGGATAAAAAAACATGGCACATCCACACCACAGCCTGTGAAAGGGTAAAACAGCCATTTTCAACAAAATGAATATGCTGCAGTGAAACTTAAAACATTGGACATTTACACGGCAGACAATGGGATAAAGTAAAACACTTTCAAAAATCAGTGATGTAAATAAACATCCCAAGGGTTCCAGGTTAAGAGCCCAGGAAGGGGGTGGGAAAAAGAGACTTCAGCTTCCACACCGGACAGCAAAGCTCTGGCCAAGAGGCTGGTTAACCGTGTGTCCCAAAGAAGCCAATGTCCAGCACCCTCTGTCCAGCCTCAGCCCCCACTGAGCTGACAGGACCACCTCCTGCCCAGAGGAATGTCTATTCCCTCCGATGTCAGTGGGTCAGTGGTGCCACAACCCTCACCCACAGCCTCCCCGCTGAGCCCCCTGCCACTTGCCCAGACGAACATGAAAACCGGCTTGTTGGGATTCTTGACTTAATAAATAAATGGTTTAAGTATTTGGAAACCACTCCCTGTCAGAACCTCCAGCCTCCTGGGGGCTGCCCAGGGAGAACCTACAGCAAAGTAGAACTCACTCCCCATGTGAATGGCTAGCCCCCCATGTTGCTGACCCCCAGCATGGACCCACGCCCCCAGCCCTTCCCCCAATGCCACCCTCTTACACCCCTCCCCCATTCCAACATTGCCCCAGCACCGCCTCCGCACCCCATCCCCACCCACGTCCCTGACGCAACCCTCTGCACAGTCCCCTCCCCACCCCACACACACATCCCTGACTACAGCCCCCCCATACCTGCCCCACGCAGCCCCACGCAGCCCCCAGCATGCCAGGACAGGTCGGTATCTCTCTGCTGAGAACATGCACCGGCATGGCACTGACCTAGTAAGAGACATTTCTGAATCCCTGTGTGTTGGCTGAGGATCCTGTTTCCTGCTGGCCTGAGATGTGCAGGGGAGTGTGTGGTAGGACCCACACCATGAGGATGAGCCCCCTGGATGCAACAATCCCACATCTCCAGCCAGGCAGAGACGCCATTATCAGCTCCAGAGCGGCAGGGAGCCTTGAACAGCAGGAGCAGGACTCTGTGGGGTTGCTCCCTGCAGGCCCCCAGTCGCCCTGGGTGCCTGACCCCTCCACACTTTCGAGTTCAGCCATTTCTAAATTGTTCTAGGCGTTTCCAGCTGCCTTATAGGATTTCTGCAGATGGAGGTGAACTTAGAGCACATTAGGTCTTGAGCAAGGCAATTCAGGAGCAAGGGCTTTGGGGGCAGCTCCCAGAAAATCCCCAACCATTTAAGTGGGTTTGAAAACCTCCAAAGTCTTCCAGTGGGCAAACTCGCCAGATAAGGAAGGTGTCAACAAAAAGCTATAAGAAAACAGGCTCCATCCTGGCAAAAGTCAATTAACTGAAATGGAGATGAAGAGGAGGGTTGAAGGGAGAAGACTTTTGGGAGTTATAAAAGCAAAGGCCACAAAAAGTAAACGAAAGAAAGAGCCACATATGAATCTCAATTAAGTCAGGGTTTGACAAAGAACCAGCTTGGAAAGACAGAGACAGGGAGATCCAGAACTGGGAAGATCCAGTGGAGGGATCCTTTCCTCCACTTTCTGGTGGTGGGACTGGGGTCTGTGGGAGGTCAGCCGGATGCCTGTAACTTCCAAATGGTTAAGGCGACAACAGCCATCAGTGCACACACCAAAGAGACTCACTGCTGAACACAGGGCCGTCTGCCTGGGCAGGGCAAGGCTTATGTGGCACTGATTTTCCCTTCTCTGTACACCTAAGCATTTTGATAACCAAAATTTTTCACAACCATCATTTTCATAACAAAAAGATTTTCTTTTCAGGAAAAAAAGTCACTTTCCATGCAGGCCCAAAACAGGTCCTCACATGCCCCCTCCTTCACGGACTTCTGGGACCCTCCACACCAGCGACCGTCATCCTAGTCACCCCTGCTCATCTCCAGAGACGAAGGATGGTGAGAGTTCATTTTGACTCTGCCCCACCAGACAGCAGTCCGGTCTTCCCACCCTTAAAATACATCCTTGACCTTGATGGCAAGCTCGAGGCACTCACTGAGCTGTGGGGAGCACTCCCAAGTGCTCACTGAAGACAGACTTTCAGGAAGGGTCCCCGCAACATCACCCCAGACAGAGCATGTACCAGCCTGGACCACAGGGTTAGGGAAGCTCTTAGTCCTTTTTGGCTTTTACACTTTCATAGTCTGTGAATTAATTGTTCATCATGTTTAAGTCAAAGGACCCACAGTTCACCTCCTACTCCCCACCCCCACCACAGGCCCCACCATGCACACAGCCCAGCTGCCTGCCTCTTCCTGCGCTTTGTCCATGATCAAGAGAGCAAGCACATAACTACCCCGCCCCAGTGGAGGTGATGTGAGTCCCCTGCCAGGCTGTACCCCAGTTACACAGTCTGGCTCCCTGCAACCTTCTCCCTTTCCCCACTTGTTTCTCTAGGTTCCTATTTGTTGCATCAATGCAATTAAACCTATGACTAAATGCCAGGTTCTCACAGAAGAGTGTGATGACACTTCAGTTTCTCCTGATGCAGCATGTTTGTCAAGAGATAAAATTAGGGTATCATCATTGTAGTTCCCATATGGTTTTAATCAAAAGCATTCTTTAAAAATTTAACACACTTTTATATTTCACTTTAACATACAGTGCTAGGATCTACTTTCAAGAATATACCCAGTAAAACATCTACTCAAAGGCTATAAAGTGATAGGTTTTAATAACAAAGATGAAAAAGGAAGAATGCCAACTCTTGATTTTTTCTCAAGATTAAGAGTAATTTACTTTAATAGCAAAATATAATCTACTCATCCTCAATCACTGAGGCATATCTTAGGAGGACGACAGCACTGGATGAGCAGGTTAACTGCCTGACTATTGGGAGACTGGAGTTATTTGGAAGCAGCAGCAAAGTTGGGAATGGCAGGAAAAGCACCACAAACTCTTCAAACTTTCTAGCTCCCAGCTGGTCGGTCTGTCAGTCTATCTGTCCATCTGTCTGTCTGTCGCTCTCTGTGTGTGTGTGTGTGTGTGTGTGTGTGTATACACATATACATACATATATTCTCTACATCATTTTTCATTTTTGTATAATGGATGCATTTTCATCTTGGTTATAGTCCCCATACAATTCCCGCCACTGCTGTTTTGATCCTACTCCCTTTTACATCATTGTTCATTTTTAAACAATATTTGCTTCCCCCTATCCCCTCAGGTGGAGTCCCCATAGAATTTCCTTCACCAATGCACCTGTGCACCATTACACCTCAGTCCCCTGTGCTCCTCCCTCCCTCCCTCTGATCCCTCTCCCTCCTCCTCCCCTGCTCAGGATGTCTCTAGTTTATAATTGTCTGTTTTTGCTTTGTTGTGTTTTGTACTGTTATTATTTTTTTACACTGATGTTTTATTTGGTTCCCCTATATTCCTGCTAAACGTGACACCATCCAATATTTTTCTTTGTTCTTCTGACTTATTTCACTGAGCAAAATTCCTTCTAGTTCCACCCACATTGCTGCAAATGGCATGAGTTTATCTTTCTTGATTGCTGAATAATATTCCATTGCGTATCTAGACCACACCTTCTTGATCCAGTCATCTATTTTCGGGCATTTGGGTTGTTTCCAGGTTTTACCTATTGTAAATAGTGCTGCAATAAACATAGGGATAGAGATATTCTTTTTTTTTTTTGAAGATTTATTTATTTATACAAGCACTGGGTATAGTCAGAAGCGCAGGAGGGTG